AAAGGAGGAAAGAAAAATATACTCACATTTCGTCGATATCCATCGTTGAGCAAAACAGCTGCTCGATGATGGATATCGACGGTGTGAGCATTTTATTCGTTTGAATGGGTTTTATGATAAAGAAATCAGTAACTGTGGGAGCATTTTGATTCATTTTGCGCTCAAATCTGCTTTTGATTACTTTGACTGTTCCTGCATACTTCGATGATTCACAGATTCATCAAACCACCGTTCCGGTACTTTTTTTTTTGGCAGAAACAGAGATAGCTGTATTGTAGCACTTAAATCTGGCCTTTACTCCGGAAATTTTTAGGAAGCAGGATGAAGATCTGAGCCCTTGGTTTTTGCGTGCCGTTGTTTTTTTTTTTTTTTTCATTTTGTCAGGAATAGTGAGTACTGAGTGTGGGTTTGTTGAACTCAATCAGATTATTGTTGAGGTGCAGAACAGTCAGAATTTTTCGGGTACGACATTTACGAAAAATCTTTTTTCGAGTGCATGCTCGAGGTTAAGATTTCACGCTGCCTCATAATGCAACACCACCATCTCCTCCTGTGTTGGAAAATGCCAAAGCGCATCTAGATGAGTTCACGTGTTAAACTGTAGCTCAGTAACCGTTCATATTATTAACGACCTAAATACTTCAAGTTTATCGCACCGGCATGCTTCATGCGTCGTTACCTACATTATTCACTGTCGTAGTGCTAAGCTACACAGCAAAAACGCATAAAATTGCTCGTATCCGCTGAATGTCCCGAGTGAGCGATAGTTGGAAGAAAACGACAACTTCCGAAGAAGGAATACATATCGGACAAGGAATGAGCACAGTCTAGTAATAAGCGATTTATGGATGAGGTGTACAAGCTAGTATTGGATTCTTGTACCTAACGTCGCGTGGTCCTGACACTCCTGGTTCTCTTATTATCTTTACAACAAAAGTATACTATGACTGAAAATGTATTATATGTGTATATCGTAAGTGAATTAGTTGCTGTGTGTCCGGCACAGTAATGAATTATTATTGTTTGCTACATAACAATGTTGTTTTCTACATTTCCTGTGCCATTTGTTCTCACAGTTTTCATTGCAGTAGCGTCATATTATTGCCCCCTTCCTTCTTCCGATAATTTAATTTGGGTACTGTAGATGTCAGTCCCTGGCCACGCCTTCTGAAGCAATTAACCCATGTGATCCGTGCTGTCATTTTGGCGATGGTTTCTCGTTGATGGAGAACTCTTTGACCGCGAAATATTCAAATCAAAAAGCTTCCACTTCCAAAGAATCAGCTGTACAGCAGGTTGACTCGTACTTATTCAATTTATTTTTAATTACTTATGTTCATGTGTATTAACGAGAGAAGGGCGGGAGAGGGGCGGGGGCATGCAGCTCAGAACAGTATGCCGTTGGTGTTGTTGCACTGGCGCGCATTTCAGTAGCTCCACCAGGCTTTCACGCCGATCTTTCTAAAGGTATTGGTACTCACACCAGCCCACCACCAGCCTATTTTCAGCAGATATGAGAAGAAGGAGCCGCCATCAATAGCTCTGCCAGC